TAATCAATGAAACACTGTATACGAAATAATCATTAAACTTAGATGCAATTACTTGTTCTGACTGTTCAAATGTAGAACTTTGAGTGATATAGGGATTCCGTTAAGAGGTTCGACAAATTTAAAGGATTGTTCTAATGTGCCATTAAATGTTATGGACCGCGGTTTACAACTACTAGGTTTAAATAAAGATTTCAAAATTTTCCATAACTCTTTGCTGTTGTTTTGATGCTGATCAATCTTCCTTTGAACATATCACAACGAGCTTTCTTTATCAATTGTGAATACTTTTTTTTTTTTTTTCTTTGGTTTGTTTTCCGTCGATCTTGTTTTCCGTGCTGAGCACCAATGCTACCGACGCCAGGAAGGCAGCTCCCACACCTGGACCCTACCTATCGACCCATCAACTCATGAACCGGGGACCAACGGCTTTACTTCCCTTCCGAAGGAAGACGTGATCAGAGATGTTATGCCTCAGAACATCCCGGCGGCGCCGACTGGGATTGAACCCAGGCCTGCTGGGGTGAGAGGTAATCACGCTTACCACTACACCACCGGCACCGCTAATTGTGAATACTTATTATGCGCGATTGTGTACCTAGTCCAATGATTGTCATTATTTGATCTACAAAACGTTTTGTACCATTTTTCCCTTTTCCGTTTAAGACACAAAAGTTCCAAATTGTACCAGCTGTTCGAGTTTTTCAAAGAAACAAACTTTTGCTCAACTAATTGATTGGTACACGTTTTCAAAACGTTAGTAATAACAGCTGTGGATTCATCTAAATTACCGGCCGCGATTGGAAAATCGACGCTTCTATCAACAAGATTCGAAAAACTTGTTTTGAATATTTCCTCCAGCACTTCAATTTTACTAATTCATCGTTGTTATTGATATAATCTAATACATTAATCACTAAGGTCTCATGATCGGCTATTTTCAAAGCAGAATCCGTAACTGAACAAATAGAATCAACATTGGAGTAAACATGATCAATTAAAGTTCTACTGGAAATATGCGCATACTTATTTACCGTTTGCCTTAAATTGAAAAACTCAGCTTAACGCTTCAAATTATTCGAATTATGCTTGTCACGCCAATTAATATTAAAATCACCAGCAAATATATTTAATTTACTATAATCAAGGAATGTCTCCAGCCAGTTCTCTAAAACTTCAACAAAACGCTGGTCACTAGAACTGGGAGAATGATACAAAACACCATAATTACCCATCATGCCACGTACAACTGTAATGCCCAAGAACCACTTGCCATCAATAGCAGTGCCGGTGGTGTAGTGGTAAGCGTGATTACCTCTCACCCCAGCAGGCCTGGGTTCAATCCCAGTCGGCGCCGCCGGGATGTTCTGAGGCATAACATCTCTGATCACGCCTTCCTTCGGATGGGAAGTAAAGCCGTTGGTCCCCGGTTCATGAGTTGATGTGATGGGTCGATAGGTAGGGTCCAGGTGTGGGAGCTGTCTCCCTGGCGTCGGTAGCATTGGTGCTCAGCACGGAAAACAAGATCGACGGAAAACAAACCAAGAAAAAAAAAAAAAAAACTTGCCATCAATAACTTCGTTGGTACGAAGGTTGAATTGAACTGATTCTTTGACATAAATAGCAACACCACCAGTATGTTTAGAATGTGATAAACAAGCAGCAACAGTTTATCCCGGAATACTATACTGATCAAAAGCTTCAAACTAATAGTGGACGTTTTTCCTCAACAATCTGACGTAATGCTACGTAGTTTGTTGACCACCCCGCAATATTCAAATACAAAAAAAAATCGAATTGATTCACATTCCTGGAGCATGGCTGCTATTTATTGAAACGCAAGCTGTTTTTTTCTGATCAAAAGTCTTTTATAAACTATACAGTCTGAACTAAATGTGGCATGGTTGACATCCAAGTTCATTTTCCGTTCAGATGACAGATGACAGATGAACAGATAAAATTAGGAGTTGATGGATTTTCCTATGTTTCGAGGGGTGCATCGATAAGCTTGGGACTGAAGATAGTACCAGCAACAATCAATACGAAACTAACGATTTTAAATTGGCTCACCACTTTAGTAGCCTATTGGTCCCAAGCAAACGATTAACGTACCCTATTCTAGTTGAAATTCTATTACTACACTATGTTTGTTTTGATTCGCTATGAAAGTTTGACAGATAACATCAGGGGTGTGTGGATTCATGCAGAACATGCAGGGGTGAGTGAAATAGCTTGGGACTGCTTGGGACCGTTGTTCTGGTACTGAGTGAGCTAAAAATAATAATGATTTTCTTCGGGACCCAGTGGTCTTAGAGTTACCTCTATGGTACCAGAGCTGAGCCAAAAAGATGAGCATGTTTCTTCGGGACCTTCTGGTCTTAGAGTTAACTCTATGCTAATATGACTGATGATTTTTACATATCTGAGTTCCCAACTCCGCTTAGGAAAAATCAAATATTCTACACGGCATTTGAATGCTCTTTATTCATACATGAATAAAAAAGGCAATGTTGGATCATAATTTGTCCGAACCAGGTATTTTTAAGAAGATCGGATTATGAAGAAATCCAAATAACATCTTGCAGATATTTTTAATAATACCTAGCAATAAGAAATTCTTGCAGATTTTTTTCTGTAGAACTCGAATGGTTCATCATTTCAACTAGTATTTATTGGATATTTACTTATTATGCCATGTTGACAAGTCTGTGGATTCCAAAATGGTGGCGTACAACGAGTTTTGGCATCTACACGTCGTCCTCGATCCAAAATTTCCCACATTTTAGGGTATGTGATAGTATTTCTAAAAAATATGCAGATGGCATCAAATGTTGACATCTACACGTCGTCCTCGATCTGAAAATACCCAAATTGTTTTATTTTAATTTTTAAAACCGATGGCGGCCATCTTGGATTCCAAAATGGTGTCCAACATCGATTTTCGACGTCTTCATTTCGTCCTCGTTTCGGAAATACCCATATTGCAGCGTATTTGACAGTTTTTTTTTTAAACGAGAACAGAGAACATCGAATTTTGATATCGACAAGTTGCCCTCGTCCCGAAAATAACCATATATATATTGGGTAATTGGCAGTTTTTTTTATAACCAATGGCCGCTATCTTGGATTTTTAAATGGGGCTCAACATCAACACGTCATTCCCGATCCGGAAACACGGTATATTACAGCTTTTGTTTAGAAAACCGGTGGCCACCATCTTGGATTTCAAAATGCCAGTGAACATCGAATTTTGACATCTACACGTCGTTCTCGTTCCAAAAATACCCATATTTTATGGTATTTGAGAGTATTGTATTTAAAAATCGATGACCGCCATCTTAGATTCTAAAATTGCGTTCAACATCAATTTTTGACCACAACTTGTCGTCCGCGTTCGGAAAATGCCCATATTGTAGGATATTTGACAGTATTCCTAAGATAGATGGCCGCCATCTTGGATTCCACAGCAACTTTTTACATGGCCAGGATCAAGGGATATTTTTTTATTTTGATGTAAATTCCATATATTATAGCCCCATAAGTAAAAGGAAATTAGTGACGTAGCTCAAAATTAAACCTGAATCGAATGTCACAGGCTTGTTGGTCTACCCCAGTACAACAACTTTGTCTAAGACAGCTTTATATATTGAAACAAATGAGACAACCGACCACCAATAGAGCTTTATGACGTTTAATCGGCGCACACTACTGCACCATTTAAAGTGCACGAGTGCGAGCAAGAGGGAAACAGATTAGTGGGAAAACAAACCGTCCATTCAGACTGTATTTATTTTTAAATAAATACATATGTGTTAATACATACACCCTTTTGAAAAAAATGTCTTGAGTCAAAATGTTGTCTTTTGGCTGTATTTTGACTGAGAAATCGTGTTATGCCAGATTTGTCTTTAAATGAAATTTACGCTCTACAAAATGCGACTGATTTAAAGTTGACGATAATAGAACAGTAGGTTAACACATTTGAAGATAGGTTGCCGAAGAGAAGGAGGCTGCCAAACTGTCACACTCACCTGAGAAGTTTAAGGTTCAATTTACTTTGCTGCTTTTTGGAAAATTTCAAAAGCAGTTTTTTCCGACGCATTATTTCAGATTGAAAAAAGCTTGCACTATTCGATTCCTTTTGATATTTTACACAAAATGACTCGAGCTTTTTGCAATCTAAAATAATGCGTCGAAAAAAGCTGCTTTTGAATTTTTTAAAAATGCATCAAAGTAAATTGAACCTTAAAGCGTTGTAAAACCTAAAGCCCTACAGTAAAAGTATGGACGTCTGTCAAAAGTTGTTCCAATCGAACCGTCAAAATGCACCGCTTTGCTCGATTGGAACAGCTTTTTTTCAGTTTTGTGGTGACAGTCGTCCATACTTTTACTGTAGGGCTTTAGTAAAACCGCTCTCGAACAGTGTTGGGCAATTCTTTCGATTGGAATGAAGCAGCAGATAAATGAAACGAAATAAACACGTCATATGTGTGCGTGACGCTGAGAAAATGCTCAGAAAAGTGCAGACGCTGCTTAAATTGACGAGAATACGTAAATTCCCCTATTTCAAATGGGAAAACATTCATTTTGCCCGGGGGTGCACTTTACCCCATGTTCCCCTAAGTCCCTTTAGCATTGACGCGCAAACACCCAGTTGTAGGTATGTGTTTACACTTCTGTGCTTTGTGTGGTTCTCTATCCTAGTATGGGAGGCGACTTCACCTGGATCCTACAAATAAATCCCCTCGACGGTTCTACTTCCCTTCCGGAGAAGGACGTGGCCAGAATCAATTCGCCTCAGAAAATCCTACTCCCAGCAGTCACACTTACCACTCAACTACCAGCGCCAGCAACCCACTTATATGTTCCAATATGGACTAACCCTTGAATCACCATTCAAGCTAACGAACGACAACATTTAATTATATTCACCCATCCGAAATCACAGGAAAATCACGGTACGATACGACACGGAAAGATTCAGCATGCCTTTAGGTACATACCCAATCGCGGTACAGCTGGATGTTGCATCTCCTCATCAGAATCAACAGTTTGGTGAATTCGGATGGCCTTCGGAGCGGTGACTGGTTCTGCTGTTGTTTTTCGGTGCTGCTGCACACGTCATCGGTCGCGTCGTGATAGACCGTGGCACCGGCATTGTGATTTTTGTCATACGTCAGATAATGGGGCAGCGTGACCGTTCCGATGCAGGAGTCCGGCTTCCGCCAGTGGCAATCGATGGCCGCTTTCGAGAGGACGTTAATGAAATTGCCATACTCTTTGTTCGCCACCTCGAGCACTGTTGTCCATCCATCGGTCGACGTCGTCGTGTTGTTGATTGGTGCAGGGGGTGGCATGAAACGAAATGCAAAATAGATGTGCTCCATTTGATTAGTCCTACTTGGACCAGATGTGTGAGGAAGGAGATCGTTCGTTTTTGGCAATGACATTCCGTTCGCGGTTTTGGGATGTTTTGGGATTTGATGGCAAACGCAAAAAAAACATGATAACAATGATACTGGTTTTCAGGTGGTTCGAAGGCATTTGTCGACGTTATGTTTGCCGAAATGATTCCTAAATTGTATCAACAGAGGTGTTTATTAGCTAAACAATTGGAGAAATGTCATGCGGAGAAATTCATCCTGCCAAGTTATCATTTTTCGATACGGCAGAAAAATGACCTTCATACTTACGGTAATCTGCGGCGTTGTGGTACTGGGGGCACTGCAATCCAACGGAGCTCAAATATGGAACCGTGTTCAGCGCCGAACCCTGATAGACGCAGTGTCCTTCGGCCAGCACGTACACATGATCGAACATCTCGAACACGGTGGCAGATGGTTGATGGATGGTGCAAACTATTGTCCGGCCTTCCCGGGCCAGCCCCTGCAGCAGTTTGATGGTGTAGAGCGACGAGGAACTATCCAGGCCACTGCACGAGCGGGATGAAAATGCGCGTCAGATCGTCAGAAGCGAAATCCCACAGCGCCGTGATGTGACCGAAGGGAAATGCGAAGGTGACAATCCAAACCGCGGGTCATGAAATGGGCCGGAAATAAAGGTATTGATATTTAGTTTTGCTTATGAAGATGTTCTGTTGACGTAAATACAGATATGTTCAAGGAATATTTGGGTGATTTTCAGCACATATTAAGGTTGCCATACATACACACTAAGTAAAATTCTAAAGTAAATTTAGGTGCTCCCAATTTTGACATATATTTAAGTCATAACAGACGCGAAATATAGCTTAATCAAACGTACTTTTCGTCGTGAAACGAACTTTTCCATCCCGGAGCACTTAATATTACATGACATGTTTGTTTACGTCTCATTTTTTATGCCAAAGATGGATTCCGTCACGTGTCAAATTAGTTATTTCTAAGTGCGTATAATGAAAAAATTCAAGAAATCGACATCGATGGTATAAATTTGCATGAAAAATCACAACAATAAAGTTTTAAAAAATGTATGTTAAGGCTCAAGACATTGGCACTCAATTTGTATTCTTCTTATTTTTAAATACTCATTACGAACAGTGGAATTTCGCGGCAAATTTCACGGTCGATAAATGTGAAAAACTTGATTTTGCGGTGCAATGATATTTGAACTCACAAACATCTTAATAATGATACGTTTTCTTCATTTAAACAACCATTTGCCAAGGAAGACAACAACTCAACCGAAATCACATGATTTGTCAAATTTGGGTGTCTTAAATGATGAATGATTTTTAAGCTGCAATAATTATGTGACCTAATACCAGTCACATAAAACAAATAAGTCATCAACATTACTTTGGCGTCAAGGGCCAAAACTTGTCTGGATTTTCTACACACTTAGAAGTACCTAATTTAACACGTGACGGAATAGGTTTTTTGACATAAAGGATGAAACGTAAACAAACATGTCATGTAAAATTAAGTGCTTCGAGACTGAAAAGTTCGTTGCTCGATGAAAAGTACGTTTGATTAAGCTATATTTCGCGTCTGTTATGACTCAACTTTATGTCAAAATTGACGCTCGTATATGTCAGTCTCAGAGCACCTAAATTTACATGATTTTTTCTAAGTGTGTAGTTAAGATGCATGAAAGAAGAAAGTAAAAAACAAACTGATTTTAAGGTAGTCCGGACAAAAATCCATTTATATCTCGCTAGAATTGTGACGTGAAACTGAGTGTCTTCAGCGAATTTTGCCGAGGTCATACACATATTATTTTGTGATTTGAACAAGTGTAATACTCCCATAATAAAAATACATATGGATATTTCAGAAGATGCAGAGTAATATTTCAAGAGAGTTCTTCGAGGACACTTAAACACTAAAACATCGAGAAAAGGGTTTTGACCGTCTTTTTTAGAATGGTCCCACTGTGCTGCGTCGGCGATTTTATGTTTTTTTTTCAATGTAACGCACACATATACTTTGTTTGTTTGTACACATTAATCGGCTTCCTGATTCTCTATATATAGAATTATCTAAAAAAAAACCTTTTTTTTTCTTTGCGACTATTAGTTTGATCTATTGTAGTATATCCCGTATCCTTAGTTCAGTGCATGTCGTATTACTTCATCACTATTGAGAAATGATGAAGTAATCGGTTTTTATACAGATGTCATTCTTGCCTTCATCGCAAACTATAGATTCGAATTGTAAGGTCCCGCTTTTTATACCCTTCGAATAGTGAGAGCACCATCCAAGGGCGCGCCCGTTTGTCAGTCAACATTTACACACGTTAAACAGCGTATTACGTATTTTATCTCCAGTCCGCATCGTGCTCTCTTGCCGTGCGGATCTATTTGCTTTTTGCTGAAGAAAGTGTTACTACTACCTAAAGCTACAACAAATTGAAACAGCACTTTTCAGTGCTTAACCTGTAAAATTTCTACCTTGTTCTACTCTTATTCCCCTTCGATCCTTGTTTGAACCCTAACCGAGGTAATCCTTCTTGGATATCGATTTGGAAAATTTCTCTTCGATGCTGCAGATTCTTATAGTAATTTGCTTAAAATTCGATTTGGATAAAAATTTACTGCCGCCATGGTGCCTAACCACAAAAGAAAAGAGCAAACTCTTGATCCCCCTTCTGATGAAATTAATTTGAGTAATCAATTTGATTTGCTCACTGATGATGAGAATGATCCATCATCCAAGAAAAATTCTAGCAAACTTTCCCGGCTTAATGCCAAGAATGAAAAGATTCCCCTTATTGTGATAACCACTTCCGATTTCCATGCTCTTCGCAATTTCGTGAAAGTTAAGTTTTCAATACAAATTGGACATCGGGGTGAATACCGTGTATTGGCTGAAACCTTGGACGTTCCAAATGTATTCTTAAGAATCTTACTGAGAAGCAGCACATTTTTTTTTACTTACGACACCAAAACTGAACGTGTGTTCAAAGTTGTCATGAAAGGACTGCACAGTGGTGATGCCCTGGATCAAATCAACGATGAACTGACAAAATTACTTGGAGTTGTGCCACTCCAAGCAATAAAAATAAAAATGAAATCCCTTCCTGGCAATTCGCGCAACGGGATTTCTTATGATTTTTATTTAGTTCACTTCAAGTCTAGTGAACTAAACAACCTTCAGGCCATGGGAAAAGCTAGCATTACGCTCCATGTCCGAGTGAAGTAGGAAAACTTCAGGAAGACTGAAGAAAATTTCCCAAAACCTCAGCCAGTACCATAAGTGCCAGGGATGGGGTCACGGAACTAAAAATTGCTACATGCCAGCTAAATGCATGCATTGTGATGATTTCTCTCACGCAAAGGACGACTGTCTTGTGAAGGAAGATCCTAAAAAATTAAATGTTCAATTGTGGTGAAAACGACAAATCCAATTTTTGGGAATGTAAGATTCGCAAAGCGATCCTACAATCTCGTTCTAAGCGACAGGTAGGAAACTCTACACGTTCCCGAAAAGGTACAAATTGCAAAGCAATTCCAATGGTAATATTCTGTTTGATGATTGTTCTGCAGGTTATTGCACTATTCAATATCCAAACAGTTCAACATGCTTTTCTTCAGCAAGAAATCCCTCAACTATTGATTTGTCCTCCAACTCATGAACCGGGGACCAACGGCTTTACTTCCCATCCGAAGGAAGGCGTGATCAGAGATGTTATGCCTCAGAACATCCCGGCGGCGCCGACTGGGATTGAACCCAATCCAATAGGGGAAATGCAGGTAATGTCAGCCTAAGTGTCCCTAATTTGGGCCCACACATAAATTCAGCAACAATCCAGTATTAACGTCTCAATTACGCGTTTATCTAGATAAAATTGATAAATAGCAGATTTTTTGCGCTGCGCCCCAATCTTAGATCCACAGGCCAACTTTAGAAACATTTCCCCTATAACTTCGATCAAAACATTCCTTTGCAAACCAAAAATGAAATTAACTATGCTCTTGAATATCTGACTACTTCTATAGTTGAAGCAAGCCTCAGTACCAAAATGCGAGGTTAAATTCGATTCAATTATAATAGACTACGATCTTCAGCTCTTGATCCGTCTTAAAAATGTCCGTAGGAGACAATATCAAAGAACACGCGATCCTGCCATGAAAGTAATCTGGCGGGATTTGCAAAAACAAATTAAAAAGCGATTATCTGCCCTGAGGAACAAAACTTTTGAAAATAATGTTTCTAAATTAGACCCAAGTTCCAAACCCTTTTGGAAACTCATTTTTTTTCCTTTATTATAGAGATTTTTAGCCATAGGCTAGTTCATCTCTTCTTTTGGAAACTCACAAAAAATTTGAAAAAAAAACCCCAAAAGCCAATTCTAGCGCTAAAAGAAGATGGTTAAATTTTGATCACAAATTTGTAAAAAGCTCAGAAACTTGCTAAGCAATTCGAGAGTTCCAACAATTTCAGTTTGGGTCTTACTAGTCCTATTGAGAATCAGGTTGCTCGGTATTATCTAAATATTTTCTCTCGGGAAAATATTTTTGATGATTCCTGGGGGACTCATTTGGACGAAGTAAGGTCTTTAACTAAAAAGTTTCAAAATATGAAAGCTCCAGGTGATGATGAAATTTTCTATATCCTCATCAAAAAAAAACTCCCAGGGAGTACCTTGTTTTTCTTGGTACAATTATTTAACAGATGTTTCCATTTGGCATACTTTCCTGATAAATGGAAAAATGCAAAAGTTGTTCCAATTTTGAAGCCGGATGAAAATCCAACTGAAGCTTCTAGTTATCGTCCAAAAAGTTTGCTTTCTTCACTAAGTAAATTTTTTTGAAAAGATAATTTTATATATAATGATGCTTCACATCAATACGAACACGATTTTTGCAGATGAGCAGTTTGGATTTCGCCATGGGCATTCAACTACTCATCAACTCTTAAGAGTTACCAATTTAATTCGTTAAACAAATCTGAAGGCCACTCAACTGGAGTTGCTCTTCTAGACATAGACAAATCATTCGACCGTGTTTGGCATGAAGGTTTGATTGCTAAATTGAAAAAAGTTTAATTTTGCACCTTACATTATGAAATTAGTTCAAAATTATTTAACTGACAGAACTCTGCAGGTAAATTCAAAATTCCAAATCTAATCGACTACCTACCTTAGAGCAGGAGTTCCTCAGGGTAGCATTCTTGGGCCTATATTGTATAACATTTTCACTTCGGACCTCCCTGATTTGCCTCAGGGTTGCCACAAATCTTTGTTCGCTGATGACACAGGCATTTCCGCTAAAGGAAGAAGTCTTCGTGTTTTTTGCAGCAGACTGCAGAAAAGTTTAGATATTTTCTCTTCTTATTTACAAAAATGGAAGATTCCTACCAATGCTTCCAAAACTCAACTTATAATATTTCCACATAAGCCTAGAGCTTCGTTTTTGAAACCTAGTAGTAGTAGCCACTATGAACGGTTCCAATTTCCTGTTTAAACCAAGTAGATTAGTATAGTATATAT